CTGGCGCATCTCGAGGAATTACTTCTCCAGTCACTGTAGTTGTTGTGAGAGCTGACCTAGATCGGTAAGACGACGGAAAGAAAAGCATACACGCACAAAAATTAGTGTTGACTAACCTTAATGAACAACCCGGGAAACGGGGCATAAGGACCACGGTCTCATTAATGAGACGTGATATAAAGGTAAAAATATCTATAACGGCCATTACGCACGGAAATGAGGAAACCCACGTTAAACAAAAATTTGCTCAAAACGTCTGAAGACAGTTGCTTCTGTAGAGGAGCACTAAGTGACGAGACAAACTATCAAGCGCCTAAGAGGACTAAAGGGCAGACTAGGAGGGATTAGAAACATAAACTTTTAGTTAGATCCCATAGTTCTAACTGAAATATGGCTATCACTCGACATCATAGGTGAGGAAGTAAGCTTGCAGGGCACGATACGTTTCAGTTACGATAGGGTATACAAAACAGGTGGAGTGGTGATTTACATTAACCGTCGTTTCAAAGTCATAACACCTCTTAGTATCAGATCAACCGAGGCGATAGGATCATGCTGCTGTTGCTTCAGTGCTGACAACACGAAGTACCTGACTAAAGGAATTCGATGGCCGCGCAAATATACCAGAAACCAATGAGACAATGCAAGGGAATTTAAAACTACCACATATGGGGTTTGACCAGATGCTACTAGCTGAAGACTTCAACACCCCGATCCTAAGCCTCAACAAGCTAAATAAAACCCATTCACGTGATTCCATAAGCAGTCTGCCACAACCCTTATAAGTTTAGGACTGTTCGAACATATGGGTGGCGCTACGAGGTAGGATAGAAATGGAAAACCCTCAAACTTAGATAATTTGCTGGCAAATGATCAGCTTCTACTCGAGAATGTTCATTTACACACGCACCAGTAGAAAGTACAGTCATAATTATTGTGATCGCACATGAAGTGCTTCAGATAGATGAGGAAGATCCTTATCTTCGTCAAACTAAAGATTGCTACACGACCGTAAGGAGGCACCTTGAACATGCTCCATGCCCATGAGATCGATGGAGGCTAACAGTGGGTGACAGCTAAGAGATAGTGAAGACTATCATCCAGAATGATATTCTACACAGTGTACCTCAGGTACAATACACACAAGAAAAGAGAGGATCCTGGGTCAAGGGTAGGACAGAACATCAACTACACGCTGAAGAAGAGCCTGGCACAAGCGGAAAGTGTCTCTGTAGTATTCAGACTAGAGTCCTCATTTGGAACTGAGAAACAAATGCAACAAAAGAGTTGGGAGCGACAGGAGATATTTCTAGATCAGGCTAGCGGTCAAAATATGGGCTAACCCCATATATCTTTACAGATTTTTGAATAAGAAATAGCCTATAAACCAGAGGGTCTTAAAGAACCAGACGGAGATCATACTAACTTAAAGAAAGCTTAGATTCTCAATGTCAACTTTATAAACCAGTGAAGCCAGGAACGTATAAGTGCGAATCAATTCCCAACTGTAGTTCGACTTTAGGGCCTGGGAAATTTCTAACCAACTCCGGGGTTCGCACTAAGAAAACTAAAATTCTTTCACCCAAGAAAATCGGCAGGATATGATGTCAGCCTTATATTCGTGAAGCAATTCATAGAACCCATCAACATACCAGTGTGTGACCTATTAAAGCGCTCACTAGAGTCACACCGACTCCCAAGAGAAAGGAACTAGGCTACGCTCTCCAATTTCCCAAGGGGATGAAAACAAGATTTAGCCTGTTACAGACGCCGAGGGTTAAGGAAGGACTTGTCTTTGAAAAAATGAGGGAATACATGAACCACAACCCACTCGGGAGATAAATTTAAGAGGAGACTTGACAAACACGTACTCACCCATGGATTACCATTACCTTCTTGGAGTAGCCATGGTTGAAGCACGCCACAGTTGTTATTCAGTAGCTACTTCTTAGCTCGCTTACGATCATCTCTGAATCCTCTTGTATTCTCACACTTTGATCTCACACTGTCTACCATGCTAATTAATTTACTTATTTATTGGTTTCTTGTGAGATTTTCCCTCTCTTAGCATCTAAATAATCCAGCCGTTAATTTACCATTGCAACCAGTCAATCTTCTGACTAGAGATGTGATAACTGCTGGTATTTTGAAACTTTAATACCCGAAAACAAATGCACTCACTGTACCTACGAGGTATATTCATCCACAAATAACCATAAAACTGACTAGAATTAATCCAGTTGAGTGGTTAGACAGTCGGCTATTAATTATATAATTATTTTAACTCAGAAACATTGGTACAACGAGGCACCAAACATATAAATCGATCAATTTATCGGAGCACTATGATACTGCCCGGGTTCCCAGATCGAAACAGGTGGTTTTCTTAGGGGGCAACACCCAGAGGTTTGATCCACAAGGCAGTGGAGCAACGTCAGGAGATGCAGCCTCATGGGAGCCGGTGACCAATAATTGGTCCGTACGCCATTTGTCCCCTCAGAATCCCGGAGCCCATGTGCATCATTGGTTCGAAATCAGGGTTTTCAAACTCCCCTAGGTGGTACCGGGTATTCGTTTTTCTTCCTTTCAATTTCGTAAACAACACTCCTGCCGGGATAAGGCAGTGAGTAGGACTTCCCTGACCATCCTCACCCTCGGATGTACTGGGACACTTCAAGGTAATCATCAATATATGCAGACATCACATTGCGTCATCCTGTTCGACATATTAGTGTTACGAAAAACACCACTCCATCAGAAAAGTATATCCTTTCAGGTGTACACTAAACTCATAGTTTGTTTTACATTGTTCTTACTCACTTTTCTTCCAGTCTTCTGTGTATCGTTTTATACTACTTATTTACATTCAGTAAGCAGTTGTATTCCCAGCAATTTTTACCCTTATATTGTGACGCAAGTTGTCGTGTAATATTCTGAAATATTTACTTATACTTATAACGTTTATTGTACTTATCAATATAATTACTTTACCTTAATCACTGTAGAGGTTATCTACACTGTGCATTTGTCTAAACGCAACAGTTTTCATATTGTTTTGCTCTTGGTTCGGGTTTTGATTGTTGATAAAGTGTTATCAAATTTAGGGGTGGATTTATACGCAACGTCTCCATATAAACCTAATGTATCGCCCAGTGTAATAACGGACATGTTTGCGTTGATGTAATCATAGAGTTTGTCATTTTATAAGGTATTTTTACTAGATAACCAGATTATGCTGTGAATTTCGCTCCGGTTTTAACTTTTATTCGCCACGTCCGACTGCGTTACACTGTACGTTCATTGCATGCTGGGATGATAACCCAAGTCACAGTAAGGTTAATGACATCGGTAATCGTTTTCGAATGAATCGTCAGTGTATAATGTTACTGAAGAAAGGTTTGTTTTGCTGTAAACTTTATTTTTATGGGCAAGTGACTGTTGTCTACAGACTCAAAACAGTATCCTTTGTCTTCTCTTAGGTTTTTATTATTATGATTATCAGCTTTATTCAATATTATATTTTTGGTACAATATAGAATTATCAGCGTAAAGCATTTCAACAAGTTTCCGTTTCTTTCTTCTTGGTCGGTCCTGGCGATAAATATTGAGTGATCGCCAGTTAGATGTTAGCAGTTCACTAAATGAACATCTGAATAATGTGCATTCTTTCCGTTGTATATTGCCAGCAACCACATTGTCTCTTATTGAGTTTTTTGTAACTTTGACAAAGAAAGATTGTACACTTTTCAGAAACGCAGCAGAATAGGTTATGCGATTAATAAACATAGTGATATATTAAAACAAACAAAGATAGATAACTTGTTGAAATGTCTAGATGGCAGGAACAGGTAGCCCAGATGATCAAGCAGGCCGCAGGTTTAGATACAGCTACCAGCTGTTCTTTGTACTATCGAAGCCTTTTTATTTCATAAAAAAAGGACGTGTTTAGACGTCTTAGACACCTCAGAAGTAGGGGTGTGCAACTAGTTTTTGTGTACTATTCAATAAAGAACCGCTATTGTAGGCAAATCGTTGTTTTGAGAACTTCGGTTTCGCGCGTATCTCAATCGGGTGACCTGGAGGCTTCGATAGATCTAACAATCATAATCATTTAAAACGAAAATTAGGAAATGTAAATCAAAGAAGGCCAAGAATAAAACATGAACGTCAAAATGGTGAAGATACCAATAATTTACTACATGCTTAAACAGTTAATCAAAATAATTGAGTCCAACGGTGGCTACTGAACTTGATTTGTGATTTTGTTTAGGACTAGGCATATATAACGCTTTCGCCCAATAATATACCAAAGGCGAAGTTAACTACAGCTGTGTACTGAAAAACTTTTCCCAACTAGTTATATACACAATGACTAAAGTGTTCATTCAAGTTTATTACATGAAACATAAAATATGTTTTAAAGTTCTCACAAGTGCTATTTAAGATGAATCTATTGATAACAAATAAAATATACAACAGAAGACTGTCAACAGACTACATTTTTTCGGGTGGTAAATAAGGTTACTAAGTATTTTAAGAAAATTTCTGTTAATGTCATTTATACAGTCTCTCAAAAGATAAAACCGACAGCACAGCATTTGGATATACTATATCACTGACATGAGTTCTTTATAATCAGTTACAGAGTAATGTTACTAAAATGAGATAAATTCATTTGTTGCATCCAGCCTGCATTTTCTGATATAACTCTTTGGAGATGAGATATAAAGACAAATAAAAACACAGATGTTTATTATCATTTTAAAATATATTGGAAAATACTTTAATTTATTTTGTAAACAATAGAACTAAATATACGACAAAAAACCTTATATTGAACACAAAAAACATCAAAACAAAGAAGCTAAATGAAACATTAAAAGCATGGTTTATTGAGGTGTCTGAATATATCAATCGAAGAACCTGTACAAAGTGGGTAAAACATTATGGGGAAGTGATTGTGATAAAGATATATATTTGAAATGATTGTAGAAAAAATTTTATTCACAGATGGACAACTGTTGATTCCTTGTCTCAACGAGTAATTTACTAACAACTGTCTCACCAAGCAGTTGAGCAGCGACACGTACAGTATCAAGACGAGTTAACTGAAGGCGATAATGTCCATCATCTGAAATAGTGTAAGTAAAACGGACATGCCCAGAAGGACGAGCTAAATGATGATCTCTCACCAAATGCTTTGATAATTCGTTACCTGTTTTCAAATGATAAGAAAAATATATTACACTACAACGATTATAGGTGTAGAAAGGGAAAGTTGGCTAAAACGTCAACTGACATTTAATAAAAAGTACAAACTATACACGAAACAAAAATAGTTGAGGCTCTCCAATAAATATAGATAACAAACTTAAATTGATAATAGGTACCTGATAAATGACCAAACTAATATAAACTGGAACCACACAACAGTGATCCGAGATCATGTCAAAGTTAATATTTTTATTATATTTTGAGAAAAAAGATTATTAAACACAAACTATAGTTCACCATAAAAACTTATCGAATAAAGCATTTTCTTATTTTAGTAAGTTAATAACTATCAATGTAACACTACTTTGGAGGTACTATAAAATAAGATAACTCCGCCTGGAGTCCCTCCGGGGGCTACTGCCGGTCCCAAGCCCGGATAAAGGAGGAGGGTTGGGCATGGGGTTAGCGTCCCCATCCCGTAGAAAACTAACTCGCTAAAAAAACGCTAACCAGAAAAAATTATTCAAACCTTTTAAACTCTGCCCTGGGAGTCAGAAGGTCTTCATTTAGAAGAATTATGACGCCTCATGATGAAAGCCGAATTCCTTCGGAAGTTACGAGGCCGATGCCCCTTCTGACAACCAGAGCGACCATTTATTTAGGTACATGGAATGTTCGTACAATGTGGGACACCGGGAGAGCCTTCCAAATTGCTGCAGAAATGAGAAGATACAACCTAGAGGTACTTGGGATCAGTGAAACACATTGGACACAAGTTGGACAACAACGACTAACTACAGGAGAGCTCCTGTTATACTCCGGCCATGAAGATGAAAATGCACCACATACACAAGGAGTTGCATTGATGCTGTCCAAACAAGCGCAAAATGCGCTTATAGGATGGGAATCTCATGGACCAAGGATCATCAAAGCCTCGTTCAAAACAAAGAAAGAGGGTATTTCAATGAACATCATCCAATGCTATGCGCCTACCAACGACTACAATGAAGACGCTAAAGATCAATTCTACAATAGGCTGCAGTCAATCGTCGAGAAGTGCCCAACAAAGGACCTGACTATTCTGATGGGAGATTTCAACGCCAAGGTTGGAACGGACAACACTGGATATGAAGACATCATGGGACGACACGGACTGGGAGAAAGAAACGAAAATGGTGAGAGATTTGCAAATCTATGTGCCTTCAATAAGCTGGTCATAGGCGGCACCATATTCCCACATAAACGCATACACAAAACCACATGGACTTCACCGGATCACACTACACAAAACCAAATCGACCATATTTGCATCAACAAAACGTTCAGGAGGACTATAGAGGACGTGAGAACCAAGAGAGGAGCTGATATAGCATCAGATCATCACTTGCTGGTCGCCAAGATGAAATTGAAACTCAAGAAGCACTGGACAACGGGGCGGACAATATCACAAAAGTTCAATACGGCCTTTCTTCAGGATACTAACAAACTCAACAAATTCAAGATAGTCCTCAGCAACAAGTTCCAGGCCTTTCATGATCTACTCAATGGAGAAGGAACTACTGTGGAGAGCAACTGGAAGGGGATCAAAGAGGCAATCACTTCAACATGTCATGAGGTCCTGGGTCACAAGAAGCACCATCACAAGGAATGGATCACTGTTGATACACTGGATAAGATTCAAGAAAGAAGGAACAAGAAGGCAGCAATCAATACCAGTCGAACAAGAGCAGAAAAAGCCAAGGCACAAGCTGAATACACAGAAGTAAACAAACAAGTGAAGAGGAGCATCAGAACCGACAAACGTAAATATGTGGAAGATTTAGCAACGACGGCGGAAAAGGCTGCAAGAGAAGGAAACATGAGACAACTGTATGACACGACAAAGAAACTCTCTGGAAATCGCCGCAAACCAGAACGACCAGTGAAAAGCAAGGAAGGCGAGGTAATCACCAACATTGAAGAGCAACAAAACAGGTGGGTAGAACACTTCAAAGAACTCTTGAATCGACCAGCTCCACTGAACCCACCCAACATCGAAGCAGCACCCACGGACCTCCCAATCAATGTTGGCCCACCAACAATTGAAGAAATCAGCATGGCCATCAGACAAATCAAGAGTGGCAAAGCAGCAGGACCGGACAACATCCAGCAGAGGCACTAAAAGCAGACGTAGCGGCAACTGCAAGGATACTCCACATTCTCTTCAATAAGATTTGGGATGAGGAACAAGTACCAAAAGACTGGAAAGAAGGACTTCTGATCAAAATACCGAAGAAAGGCGATCTCAGCAAGTGTGATAACTACAGGGGCATCACTCTTCTCTCAATACCGGGAAAAGTCTTCAACAGGGTATTGTTAAACAGGATGAAGGACTGCGTAGACGCCCAACTTCGTGACCAACAGGCAGGATTCCGTAAGGATAGATCGTGTACAGACCAAATCGCAACTCTACGGATCATTGTGGAACAATCAATTGAATGGAATTCATCACTCTACATCAACTTCATTGACTACGAAAAGGCATTTGATAGCGTGGACAGAACAACACTATGGAAACTTCTTCGACACTACGGCGTGCCTCAGAAGATAGTCAATATCATACAGAATTCCTATGATGGATTAAACTGCAAAATTGTGCATGGAGGACAGTTGACAAAGTCGTTCGAAGTGAAGACCGGTGTCAGGCAAGGTTGCTTACTCTCACCCTTTCTCTTTCTCCTGGTGATCGACTGGATCATGAAGACGTCAACGTCTGAAGGGAAGCACGGGATACAATGGACATCTAGGATGCAGTTGGACGATCTAGACTTCGCAGATGATCTGGCCCTTCTATCCCAAACGCAACAACAGATGCAGGAGAAGACGACAGTGTGGCAGCAGCCTCAGCAGCAGTAGGTCTCAATATACACAAAGGGAAAAGCAGGATTCTCCGATACAACACACAATTGACGGAGAAGATTTGGAAGATGTAAAAACCTTTACGTATTTGGGCAGCATCATTGATGAACAGGGTGGATCTGATGCAGATGTGAAGGCGCGGATCGGCAAAGCAAGAGCAGCATATTTACAACTGAGGAACATCTGGAACTCAAAGCAACTGTCAACCAACACCAAGGTCAGGATTTTCAATACAAATGTCAAGACAGTTCTACTGTATGGGGCAGAAACCTGGAGAACTACGAAAGCCATCATCCAGAAAATACAGGTGTTTATTAACAGTTGTCTACGCAAAATACTTCAGATCCGTTGGCCGGACACTATTAGCAACAACGTACTGTGGGAGAGAACAAACCAGATCCCAGCGGAGGAAGAAATCAGGAAGAAGCGCTGGAAGTGGATAGGACACACATTGAGGAAAGCACCCAACTGCGTCACAAGACAAGCCCTCACATGGAATCCTGAAGGTCAAAGGAAAAGAGGAAGACCAAAGAACACATTACGCCGAGAAATGGAGATAGACATGAGAAAAATGAACAAGAATTGGATGGAACTAGAAAAGAAGGCCCAGGACAGAGTGGGTTGGAGAATGCTGGTCAGCGGCCTATGCTCCATTGGGAGTAACAGGCGTAAGTAATAAAATAAGATAGATCCATTAACTACAGCCTCGCTCAATTAGCAAGCGACATACAATTCCTTTGGACATTACTGCCCTGCGTAGGCTGAATTTCCTAAAGCTAAACACATGACCATAGCTGCCTACACGGGGGAGAAATCTATATATATTAGTTTACGTTATGGTATAAAATTGCTATTTGATATTTACAAGTATTGTGTTCCTAAGCTACCAGTGTTTGACGGGAGAAAAATTGGGATTGGTACAGTCTGTCATGTAGTCCACAAATGATACTATTTGTATGAATGTATATCCATGGGATTGGATAATGAGTTAAATAAGGTCATTATGAATTTGCCAGTTATATCTTCTTTGAAGGGTGGTCATTATCATAGTAATGTTAACAATAATCGTATGATAAATAACATTATTACGTGTAATTAGCTAGTGACATTAGATCTCTTTACATTTAAGTAATATTTTATATAATTATCAGCACGAAATTTTAATTTCATACCTTAAAATATCAATACAAGGTCTGTTAGAGGTTTCTGTAGCGATAGGATCGTGAAAAAAGATCTTAAATGCTGCTAGCGGTATGAAGGCGGCTGTCACTTTCCAGATGCCCACACCGTTTAAGGAAATTTCTTGAGACCTGAAAAGGAAGCCATGAGTATGACCTCACAGCCTAAGGGAAAACTGCTTAAGGTCGGTCAGTTACGGCCTTTTCGCCGGAAGCTTTTGATGTGTTAGCTACGCACTTCGAAAAAACTTGCCGCCAGAGACAGAAATCCGTCGAGTAAGACGAAGTGTGACGTTTTAATAGTAGACCTTTTCTAACCCCTCCATTCCTTACTTTGCTAAAAGGCAGAGTCACTTCAGATGCTGGTTTTTCGAGAGAAACATCTTACTGCCGTTACACTGCTCTACCGTCAGAATTACGACTTCGTCCTCGGAGCTCAATTTGCTGCTCTTAGGAACCTACGTTTCAGCTAATGAAGCTCGGTTGAGTTGTCATGATAGGCAAACCCAACCATTACGCCAAGGTAGCAGCTAAGAACAGGAAATACAAGATCTATAAAGATAAAAAGTAAACCAACTGATTATTTTATATTGTAAGCTAATCAGTGAATAACAGTATACCGGATTTTTCCATAACAATGGAAAAAGGCTTTGAAAACCGAAAGGGTATAGAAACAAAATATTTTTTTAAAAACTCATTAAACTACATTTCGAAAATGATTTATAAGGGAGGAAAAGCAACTAACCAACCCAGAAGTAAGAAAAATGATGGGCATGTATGGGATCAAATGACTGTGTATTTTTTGTCCCTATATTTTGTTAGGGATGGAAGAGAAAATTAGATTAGTATTTATAGGTAAAGTTGGATGACGGAAGCAATACGGAATAGGATGTAACTAATTAATGTAACCGGAGAAATTGATTAGTCTGTGACTATCGAGAAGTTTACTGTGTGATAAAATTAAATAAAGCATTTCCATGAAGCGTATCAGTGAAAGCTATTGGACGAGGGACAATAAACAATGATATATGTAATTGGATAGTCCACACTAAGGATGTTTTAAGTTAAAGAATTAAGAAATGAAAATTGGTTTCTGGAGGAAAGACAAATACTAGACTTTGTGAGTTCATCTTTTTTGATAATTACCAGGCTATCTACGGTATAAAACTGGATGTCATATTTTAGAACTCAATTATTCTAAACACTTGATTATTTTAAGTAGGTGATATGGTATGATGGAACAAAAATATAACATACCCCGTCGTTTAACAACAGAGCACATATGACACTTATATAAACGTTCTTGAGAAGTATTTGGTGAGTTATCGGTACTATATGGACGATCTGATGATGACTCTGGTGATGAATTAGATGGAAGTGGATGATGTTTACGACCAATATGAACAAGGTAACCATTTCTTTTGTTAGTTTTGAAATTACAACCATTATGAGGACAGACAAATACATCCACTATTGCACAAGGAGTAGTATCATTGTCTGTAGGGGTTGAAATATCTGCTTGAACATTTGGTAAGGCACCAGCTTGAGCTAATGGTCCATGGATTGGAGCAATAGATATGGAGTGAGGCCATTTTTCACCTTAAAGATAAATTACGTAAGACAAATAAGTAAGTTAACGGAGTTTAAAATCGCATGTGTAAACTAACATAATTTTTTTCAAAACAAGCTTCCATATGACGAATTTCAGATTTCTTGCGATGATAACCATATGTTTCTCAAATCATCCGATAAAGATAGGAAATTAAGTAGATGATTTTGTTGGAGTGAAGATTTTCCTTGCTTACTTTTATTCAGTGTTAATGTGCCAATTTTTAAGTCTTGTGTAATATTCCTTCAAACACTTTATAAATACTAATCCCTCAAAAGAAATCCTTGTGAAAATACTTTAGTATTCTTACGTAATACAAGTGTACAACTGTTAAGTGGGGTTTCTATTCTTAGGATAATTTAAAAATCATATTTTATAGCTGCGTAAAAGATAGTTCTAGTTAATTAAAATAGATAACAATGGTGTTTAAGTAAGTTAGCAAATCTAATACGTTAAATATAGACAAAAAACCAACCAGAATGTAGAGAAGTCGTGGATTCATAATTGACCGCTACATATGACCGTCCGTAAAACTATGTTAGTTTGAGAATGTCATATGGCTTTATCAGTAACATGTGCAGAAAAATTTAACTTCAACTTTATTGTAACTTAGTATGAAGCTTTTATCGACTTTATCATGCGAGATACAGTAGTGTAAACATATGTAGCAGCTGGAGACAGAGAACTCTTAGAGAAATAACTTTAAGTACTAAATCATCGAAGATTAACAGTAAAACAAGTCCACAACAACACAGTTAAATTTATATCATTATTGGTAAGAGGTTAAGTTATTTCGTTGTTGATATTCAGGACTGGGTTTTGATCAGTTTTTCTTGGCATCTATATATCCTGAACAGATTGTCGCGATATAGCTATTTCGTCACAAGTTTTTGGAGAAGAATAATACACATACACCAACAAAGGCTGATCGAATTTTAATCCAGAATGCCAAAAACGGAATAAGTCAAGTCCTTACTAATAAACATCATACCTGTTGAACACATTAATGGCTACCTGGACTCAGTAGCTCAGTGGATAGCGTGTTGATTTTTTAATTGAAAGCTACTGAGTCCAGAACTAAATATGGATGACGGTTCACCTAGTATCGAATAGGATGAGACATGCGTCCTGGATTTCACCAATAAACTGTGTATCGTATCTTGTGCTGGTGGACACCTATTCGGAATGGCTGAAGGTTATCTTCGTGATACTACGGTCCATCAACAAAACACTTCAAACATTGGTAAACATTTCTTGCTGTAATGAGTTGCCAGGAGCCATAACATCAGATAATGAGTCCCAGTTGACAACAGAACAATCCAAAGAGTCTCGCTACTGTCAAGCAATAAACCGTGTGTAGTCGCTACTTACGTACACGATCAAATGGGCAGACTGAACGTTTCGTCAAAACCTTCGGGAGAAGATGCCCGTCGATATACTGTACGATTTTTAACATGTGTATTGGACTACACCAAACGACGTACTACTAAGAGAAGTCCTCATGGGTAGCATATAGAGAAAAGCCTGTCTGTGAGAAAATGATTCTACTGAAAGCCCTAACATTTAAAATTGGATCCTGTGTTTGTCCGAGACCACAGATCAGATATGATACATGGATAGAGAGGTGTATGACAAGAAGACTATGTCAGGTAAGGTATGAGGTGGCGGTTAGAAAAGACAAATGGATGCGGCACCCTAATCATTTACAAAGACATGTATCGACGAAACGTACGGCAACAACACGCAACGTTCCCTCGGAAAAACTAATAGACACTTTCAAACAACACATTAGAAGAAAAAATAGAGATGGCACTTCCGGGATAATTGGACCTGAGCCACAGAAGATGATTGTGTTTACTATAACTTGCTCATTCGATGTGGTTCAGTGCCCTTATTTTCCTCAAACGACTCTATTCACTTTTAATTAGTTTACTTTTATTTTAGAAGCAGGTAAGTAATAAAGTCAGGGTTCTAATTAAAACTCCTATCAATACTATACAGTATCAGAACCGCGTAGAGGTTTCAGTCAAGTATCAGCAAGTAAAATGGATCCAACAAATAACGTAAGGACAGTAAGCTGGAAAAGATATCGAATAAATGAAAGAGTAATTTAAGCCACTAAGTACTGAAAGTTCAGTAAGATTAAGTTTATTCACATTATTTCCTTAAAACAAAGCCATGACATGGACGATGATTAACTATCAAGAAAAATCTCTGCATCTATTTCCTTAAGCTGGTAACTTATTTATTGCTAGTACTGTATTGGTAACATGATTAGAATCATAGTAATCCCAGTGCTTAGAAGCGGATCGTATTTATAGGCTTTAATTTTTATTTATATTCATTTTAGATATGTGAATGATGGTTTCGTTTGCTAATTTCTCAAAACAAACAACGTCTCTGGAACATTTTAGTAGATTAAGTGAAAATGCATTTGAGATGATGACTCAATGTTAAATAAAATCAGTTGACGAATTTAATAGCTGTGTAGTAAAAAATGTGAAGATTTAGTTGAAAAATTCAAAAGCTTTATACACTAAGCTGAATTCAGTTACAACTTTAAAAGTATGGATAAACCTTACCAACTAAATCAGATTGAGTAGTATCCGGTACAACTGGATCAGTTGACTTCTTATCATTTTCATTTGATTCATAAATTTTATGTCTAGAACTTAAATGCCGCGTTAAACAATTGGTAAGTTTAAATGTAAAATTACAGTATGGACATTTAAATGGCTTCTCATTTGAATGTCGAAATAAAATGTGACGTTCTAGAGCTAGATTTTTCATTTTTAAAGTACAAAAAGACAGAAAACGAATTAAAGTTACGGGTGTGAAAATTTCAGTATACAAACATTGAGTGCACATTGTTCACATCATTAGACTAATTCATTAATAGGTAAGTGTATGCTGTATTAAGATCAGTATTTTGAAGCTAGTAATTGAATTCTAAAAGAAACGTACGACTTATTTGGGCAGAGAAAATTAAGGAATGATTACTTTCCCAATCCTGGGACACGTGTTACGTATGCCCAACGACCGACTACCTCGACGTGCTATGTTCAGTGGTATAGGAGTAGGTTGGAAGAAAGCTAGGGCGGCCAAACCAAAACATGGCACAAGTCCATGAAGTCACTGACAAGTGAACTGAGTCATGTTGGTAGGTGTAGACTACCTGGTTGGGGACCGCGAGATGATAGCAACCGATGGTTAGAGACCCTGAATGACATGGCTCAAAATCGTTTGCAATGGCGCAGGTGCATTCACTCTTTGTGTTCTCCCAAATTCTAATCTTCTGAATTCTCCATGTCCCGTTCTTTTTCCTCTTTCCAAATTTATTTCACTGTATTATACTCTTTAAATAACATCTCCAAACCCTAATCTTCCGATTACTGCTTATACTCTTGCTACCTCTACCACTACGGGATTTGAATCGACAACTACATCTCTGTGCTAATGTGGTGTGGCAACTCGAACTGATGTACGTACGTACGAAGTTCTACGTCGTTACTGACTGACTGACTTTCCCAATCCTTTTCCAAGCTATAATGAAAAGTTAATCAATACTCATTAGTCTTTTCATATATGCACCTCTAGCTTTTTATCTGAATTATTCCTTATAACGGTGTTGTTCAGTCTTGTTCTGCAGTGTTTGGGTTTTTGAAGCTATAGTCCGAGCACTAGAATAATATGATGCGTAGAAATGTGACTTCGCTGATGCTTTGTGACAGCTATTTTAAGTCTTGATTAACTGTTTGTTATCTAATACGCAATTCATAGTCCAAGTCAACTTAACAGGAAATTATGAATGTACATAGTAATTTTATTTCCTTAACATCCTGTATTTTTAGTCAGTTCGCCAGTGATTTCCTACAATTAATATGGTTAATATTTCATATTCGATTACATAAGCACGTTATTTATCCAGGGACCTCAGTCAAGAAACCATTTCACGGGTATACTATTATTCAGTTGCTTCGCTGTTGCAAAGTACTGTTAATAAGGACAGGATATATTAATCTATATTTGGTATTGTAGCTATACAAAACTTGCAGTATAATAATGTGTATATGTGGATTACTTGAACTACTTTATTATTGAAAACAGGTTAGAGTCTTTCTCATTACACTGTGAACTTTAATTGAGCAAAGTGATTGACTTGCTGAATGTGTGATTCTGAAACTTGTTTTACGAATGATGCATTTTTAAAAGTGTTACATAAGCAAACGTCAGGTTCTTTTAAAATATCTTTTCTCACTTTTTTTTCCATCACTTTTTGTATATTATTTACACCACTGATATTCAGTAGCCAGTTCGGTTTCTAATAATATTTGAGCATATAATATAAAGCATATCTGTCGACGTAACATGTTCTTGAGTACGCGAACTTGGTAAATACCATAGACATCTCACAAGTTGATGTTTACAATGTACTTCATATGATTTGTAACTATAGAACCGTTTCTACAGATAACCTCGCGTTTTGTTTCGCCCGACTTAATATGTCACTCAATCGTGCGGTTGGAAACTTCAATAAATTATAAACACTTTGAAACCATTAATATTTTTATGAACTAGTAACTGATTATGATTAAATTTTGTTACTTCTTCTTATTTCCTTGACCAATCCAAATCAACACCCTTTATTGATGTATATGTTTTTACTGAAGATACGCAGATAGTGTGAAATCCTCGAAACGATCCAATATTTGTTCCAAAACAGGATGCAACTCACCCCAGTGACAGAAAATTATCGATGTTCAAGATATATATTTTTTGGACGATAGAAACTTCCAGCCTAAGTGGATGCTTTGGTGATGTTGGGTTTTCGGAGTCATGTGACGGAATTGTAAAGTTTTTATTGTCGTTCTGGACAATATATTAAGCGCCTACTTCATGTTATGAGTTAAAATCCCAGTGGATAAAACTCTGTATACTTAGGGAGTAGATGGTAGTTTTCAGTTTCGGTATAGGTACTAAACAGAGAAGTATATACAAACAAGTTCAAAGTGGAATGAAAAGCGTGTATGAAATTCCACCACCAAAATAGAGAGGACGAGGTAAAGAACATAGAACCTGGGACAGATACGCATTAGTCCAAGTCACGTGTGAAGAACTACTAAGAAAAAACATTTAATACATACCTGATTTGCTCCAGACAGTCATATCACAAAAAGGGCATTTCACTGTATTGATATGTCTTTTCATATGTGACATCAATAATCTTTGTGTACTGAATACTTTTCGACAACGACTGCATTTCACAGGCTTGACCGAATGATGTAAGTTCTCCTTAAACTGTGAAATAAATATAAACAAGTAAACTGAATATTCATGAAGTAGATTGTCATAACAACAGAAACAAATCCACTAGTACAAACGATATGAGACACTAAATAACTAAATATTGTAGATACACTTTATCAAGGTGTTCCCTATCGCAGTTTAAATTTATTCGAATACATATTGACAGTCATGGACTGTTCTCAGTTTTAAGACTACTTAGAATAACAGATAAATAAGAAACCAAGGGGAATCCGAGAACCTAAGGCTCTACAACAATACGTTGAATTTTTGAATCTAGTTACGGTGACTGACTTCAACTTCAGTTAATTTGTAACAGATTAGTCTTAGCTTATAATGTTAAGCAACTTAAATATTAGGTTATGATCACACATCTCTAAAAAGACTAAAATAAAATCATACAGCTTTGAACTGCCAATTTTTAATAAATGCTTAACTGATTTTAAAATATTTCTGCGCGGAGATACGACAGAGCAATTTATTTAACCTTGAAAGCAGTATGAGTTTACAATATAGTGAGACTGGCATTGTAACACTTTATGCAGATGATAGCTATTGTGAAGAGAGAAATAAAGGAGCAATGACCAAAAGTGAAAGCTACTTTCCAAGACATTGCTTCGTCTAGTTCGAAATTTGTGAAGTATTAACATTTAGTCTGCTTTATTCTTTGAATCACAAGCTTTTGTTTAATGCATAAATTACTGTCGAATTCTTTTCCATTCCAAAATTACTGTGATTTAAACGCAACCCATGTATTCCGTTTTTCTACTCTGATGTTATCAGTTTGGACCTAATTGTATTTTGCTCATTTTCTGTGCATTGTAGTGTCGTTAGCCTTCTATTTTTGTTCTTACTCTGGACTGGTTAAATCAAGAATAAGCTGAATATACTGTGTTGGCTAAATCGTCTTCTCTCCACTTGTCAACCTATCAGGTCATGGGTTAGTGGTGGGACAGCTAACTCTCTGCCCTTAAAGCCATCCGGTCAAACACCAAACTGAAGTGTTACAAGCCTCAAGGTTGTACTAAGTGGCCTATCACGTCCAGGCCGTAAAATAGATCGAGACAACTTTCTCCCTGTACAGACTCGTGGGCAGACAAAACAAGGACATAATTACAATACTATCCCGTTGAAATACATATGGGTAAAAGAAAATAAATTCGCATAATCGAAAATGAGATAGAACTTTTTAGTGCAAATTATTAGTTTTTGATTTGTTTTATACTATATTTACTGTAGATGATTTAATAAGTGATTACAAACTAACATATAAATACTTGGAGTTTTATTAGCATTTATAACATTAGGAGTGTATGACGGACCAAAGAGATTACAAACTCAACAATAAAAATACAATTTGTACAATACTACTAAAGTATGACCACGGTTCATCAGGGTAACTTCCATGGAGTTGATGAAATATTTTTGTTGGAAGAAGGAATCCATCAGTATACGTTTAAGTTATTAAGTTTTAATTAAAATTTAGTCTCAATCTTTGTTCAATAACATTTATATGTTAGTATAGTTAATGTTCATTGATAATATTTTCTCAGGATGTTATTGAATGGAATACTAATTCCAGCCTAAACGAACGAAACAACTGCATGGTGTTTATTACAAGTAGGATATCAGAACTATGGAAAAAGGCTATGAGATTTCCATGTCATCGGAAAGAGATGGAAGTATTTGGAAACTTACATTCTCCAGCGAAAATCATCAAAATATATGCATTTGATTTTAGCATTAAAATTGTTAGTCAAAATGTAAATATTTAAAAAAGAAACTAGAATAGATTCAAGTGATTATTTATTTCTCAAAATAATTTTGTTTGAATACGAAAAGTGATGCGTAATCAGATTTTGCATAGTAATAAGGGATTTGAGAGTATGACAGAAATTATACACTTTCTTTAATTTTCAGTTTCTTCTCCCGAAATATTCACATGGTTAACCTATTATTTATCAACTATATGAACAATTCTTATAATTAGTATCAGAAGGGGTTTTGTGGAGATTGTAGTAATTTCAACAGTTGAGATCATGAGTCAATTGAAGGTGGACCACCATGGAAAACCTGGAAGCACTGGACGGCCGTTTCGTCCTATTGACCACTGGAGTTCAACCGGGTCAATTGTGAGACAGTAACCCACTGATGACAATGGTAGATGTGTCGCCCAATTTCGTGGATTGGTTGAAGTTAGACATCAACACCGTTGGATGCCGGCTCAATGGTCTAGTGGTTAAGTGCTCGTGCACGAGACTGATAGGTTCGAATCCCGTGTGGTGGGGTCGTGGATGCAAACTGTTGAGGAGTCCCACAATAAAATGAAACAGCCGCCTAGTGCTTCCAGGTTTTCCATGGTGATCTAGCTTCAATGGACTCATGATCTCAACCACTGAAATTCTTATAACTGCTTCATATTTATTATTTTTATCAAGATATCTTTATGTTAACCACAGTCTTGGTGAAGATTTTTCTGTAAATGTGATATGAAGTATAGCAATTTATTTTTGATAAATAATCCTACTGTTTTTAGGTTACAAGCAACTGAAAGCAATTCATAAAATAAATAAAATCATGTTATTTTGCTATGATGTTTGTTTTTGCTTTACTGAACTCATTAATAAACCAGCATATATATAACACAAAAGCACTTACGTTGGTGCTTTTATTTAATAGATGAATTTGTTGGCGTTTAAGATGATCTTCTAATTTACGGAAATCAACAAGCAATAAACCACATGTAGGACAAGCTGCACGTTTGGCTTGAGTATGAGTATCCAAATGACTTGAAAGATTCCTTAAACGATTAGCTATATATGTACAATTCTCCCATAAACATTTTAACTGTACATTTGCAGGATATCGAGAATCGGTATACTCCTACAAAAGAAAAGTAGTTGAGACGAAAATATAAAATAGCTAATAATTAAGAAAAAATAAATGTAGCGATAACGTTGTACTCACTGGGGCTGTAAATTTCGTTTCATATTAAATTTAATCCGTGCAACAACCAAAATCCCAAGGTATATTACGTATATATATATATATATATATATATATATATATATATATATATATATTTATATACATAAACTAAATTTCCCAATTTTCTTTAAAGAAAATAGAAATTATGTGAAAACGGCGCACGAAATAGTTATTCAAATGAAACAACAGAAAAAGTATGAAAATCATCTCCTGCCAAAGTGACCTGGATCATTCCTTAAGTATGTAAAGAACCTTGATGAATTCAAACTAATCTTTAATTGATCAGATGAACCACGACTAAGATTGGTGGTTACATGGTGGAATTTCAATTTTCTTTTTGTTTACACAGGGTATTTAAAAAGAACAAATGGCCTCTTGAAATAGAATAAGGCATTACTTTCACGCTAACATTATTTGTCTTAACCAAAAACTAACACTTATAGATATTCTTTAATATTTTGTTTCGAATAGACTGTAGAGAAGGTTAACCTTGAAGAGTCCAAAAAAAGTTTGATATGAGCAGTAAATATGCTCCATCCATTTATCGATTGGTAAATGTGCATACTATTCTTTATAGCTATTTATAAGTCAAATGCTCACAAAAACGGAATTCTGTCGGAAATTCTTCATTGTAACCAAATAATATGGTGTTAAGCAAAGCGTATTATTATTGTTGATCTGAAACTGCTCTCACTCTATTCGTACTGTTAGTCAACCACTGCCGATTCTTTGGACTGCCTTGGATTCACGTGGTATACCAAGCGAATAACTCCGTCTGTAGCTCTTCTAGAGTTACTGCCGGTCCAAAGCCCGGGTAAAGGAGGAGGGTTGGGCATGGGGTTAGCGTCCCCATCCCGTAGAAAACTAACTCGCTAAAAAAACGCTTACCAGAAAAAATAATTCAAACCATTTTAACTCTGCCCTGAAAGTTAGAAGGTCTTCATTTAGAAGAATTATGACGCTTCATGGTGAAAGCCGAGTTCCTTCGGAAGCCACGAGGCCGATGCCCCTTCTAACAACCAGAGCAAAAATTTTTATAGGTACATGGAACGTTCGAACAATGTGGGAAACCGGGAAGACCAGTCAAATAGCAACGGAAATGAGGAGATACAACTTGGCAGTACTGGGAATCAGCGAAACCCACTGGACCCAAGCTGGACAGAAAAGGCTAGCTACGGGAGAGATGCTGCTATACTCCGGTCACGAAGAGGAAAATGCTCCACACACTCAGGGAGTCGCTCTAATGCTGTCCAAAGTAGCACGAAATGCACTTGTAGGATGGGAATCTCACGGATCCAGAATCATCAAAGCATCATTCAAAACAAAGGAGGGGATCTTAATGAATATTATCCAATGTTATGCACCCACCAATGATAGCAACGACGACATTAAAGATCAATTCTACGAGCGGCTGCAGTCAATCATAGAGAAATGCCCAAGAAAGGACCTCACCATTCTGATGGGAGATCTAAATGCCAAAGTCGGAATAGACAACACCGGATATGAAGATATTATGGGACGACATGGACTGGGACAGAGAAACGAAAATGGAGAAAGATTTGCAAATCTGTGTGCATTCAACAAATTGGTCATAGGAGGCACAATATTTCCACACAAACGTATACACAAGGCTACATGGATCTCACCGGACCACACTACAGAGAACCAGATAGATCATATTTGCATCAATAAAAAATTCCGAAGGACAATGGAAGATGTGAGAACCAGGAGAGGTGCTGACGTAGCTTCAGATCACCACCTAGTTGTAGCCAATTTAAAACTGAAGCTGAAAAAGAACTGGACAAGTGGACAAACAGCACTACAAAGGTTCAATACAGCCTTCCTTCGAGATACTGACAAACTCAATGAATTCAAGATAGCTCTCAACAACAGGTTCCAAGCCTTACAAGATCTACTGAAGGAAGAAGAAACTACTATGGAGGACAACTGGAAAGGCATCAAGGAAGCATTAACTTCAACGTGTCAAGAGGTTCTGGGCCTAAAGAAACACCATCATAAGGAATGGATCTCTATAGAAACACTGGACAAGATCAAAGAAAGGAACAAGAAGACAGCAATTAACAACAGCCGAACACGAGCAGAGAAAGTCCAAGCACAAGCTGAATACATAGAAGCAAACAAACAAGTGAAGAAGAGCATTAGAGCCGACAAGAAGAAATACGTGGAAGAACTAGCAACGACGGCAGAAAAAGCTGCTAGAGAAGGAAATATGAAACAGCTTTACGATACAACGAAGAAACTAGCAGGGAAATACAGTAAACCAGAGAGGCCGGTCAAAGACAAAGAAGGCAAGCCAATCACTGAAATTCAACAACAGCGTAACAGATGGGTAGAATACTTCGAGGAACTCCTGAATAGGCCGGCTCCAATGAATCCACCGGACATCGAAGCAGCACATACAGATCTTCCTATAGATGTCAACCCACCAACGACGGAAGAAATTAGAATGGCCGTCAGACAAATCAAGAACGGGAAAGCAGCAGGACCCGACAACATACCAGCTGAAGCACTGAAATCAGACATCGAAGTAAACACAAGCATGCTTCACCTTCTATTCAAAAAGATTTGGGAGGAGGAACAAGTGCCGATGGACTGGAAAGAAGGACACCTCGTCAAGATTCCAAAGAAAGGAGATCTGAGCAAATGTGAAAACTACAGAGGCATTACACTACTGTCAATACCAGGGAAAGTCTTCAACAGAGTGTTGCTGAACCGGATGAAGGATGCAGTAGACGCCCAACTTCGAGATCAACAAGCTGGATTCCGTAAGGATCGGTCGTGCACAGACCAAATTGCAACACTACGGATCATCGTCGAACAATCAGTTGAGTGGAACTCGTCACTATACATCAACTTCATTGATTATGAAAAGGCATTCGACAGTGTAGATAGGAGGACATTATGGAAACTTCTTCGACACTACGGAGTTCCTGAGAAGATTGTCAATATGATCCGGAACTCATACGACGGACTACAGTGCAAAGTAGTGCATGGAGGACAGCTGACAGATGCATTCCAAGTAAGGACCGGAGTCAGACAAGGCTGTTTACTCTCTCCCTTCCTCTTTCTTCTGGTGGTCGACTGGATTATGAAGACCTCGACATCTGAAGGAAAACACGGAATACAATGGACAGCTCAGAATCAATTAGACGATTTGGACTTCGCAGATGACCTAGCCCTCCTATCGCATACACACGAACAGATGCAGATGAAGACAGCCAGTGTAGCAGCAGTCTCTGCATCAGTAGGCCTCAACATACACAAGGGGAAAACCAAGGTCCTCAAATTCAAAACGAGGAACAGCAATAATAATTGGTTGTCTACGCAAGATACTCAACATCCATTGGCCGGATACCATCAGTAACAGCCTTCTCTGGGAGAGAACAAACCCGCTTCCAGCTGAAGAAGAAATTAGGAAAAAACGATGGAAATGAATAGGACATACACTACGCAAATCGTCAAACTGCATCACGAGACAAGCCCCAACTTGGAATCCTGAAGGGAAGCGGAAAAGAGGAAGGCCAAAGAACACATTACGTCGGATAATAGAAGCAGATATGAAAAGGATGAATAATGACTGGAAGGAGCTGGAAAGGATTGCACAAGACAGGGTTGGATGGAGAATGCTGGTGAGCGGCCTATGGTCCTTCGCGAGGAGTAACAGGCGTAAGTAAGTAACCAAGAGAATATTTTACTCAAGGTCCTAGTCATTTAAAAAAATACAGATCATAACAAAAAATAGATCAAATAAGATTATATTGTGAGGATGAGAGTATCATACATGGTCAACTACTGATTAAGTCGAAAAGTAATGGTGAGTAGCGAAGGACTAAGTTGGACCGAAGCTACTAGTAGCCAAACCAAAGGGTAAGAACACTTCATCAAGCCACTGACTGTTGTACTGAACCATGTGGAGTGGAGTTTGTATGATAAGTGTAATTGACGTGGAGACTTGAGATGACACGTTTGGGAAACGATAGAAGTTACGTGGATGGATTTATTCTTGATCATCTTATGGATTTTTAGACATAACTTCAGACTTTCTACTACACAAATTTGCTTCTTCTCTTTGAGCTATATTCATTATGTTTGATTCTTTTTATTGCTATGAACACTACAACCAACTTTACTTGGTATATTATTATATAGTAACATAAGCCGAGACACATTTGTCTTAGGGTATGCACTATCTATGACTGAGTCGCTGTGAAGTAAAAATATTGAAAAATTCGTAACAGTCTCAGTTAATCTTTTTAACTGATCGTCAATCTTAGGAAATATATAAACTGAATATCATGAGCAGTTGTAGAAAGTTTTATGAAATAGAAATACAATAGATAATTATAAGAAAATTGTACAGAAAATACAAACAAAAAGCATACGAAAATAGTACCTCTGGGTGTCTTGATACATGAGTAATAAATACACAAACATCGTTGGTTTTAAAATCACAATATTCCCAACCACACTCGAATTTGGTTGGAAGTTCGGGGATCAAATTACATGATACTGGGTCGGATAAACATACGGGCCAGTCATTTATTTCCAAAATATGTTTCCAATAGCTTTCAGTTGGTTAACCCATGAATGAAAAAACGAATGCCTTTCAATCCCATCAACATCAGTTATATTTAAGGAGGCGTTACATATGCCACAGACAGGAAGACGTGAACCTTGCGAAGGTTGCTCACATAGTTCCTAGAAACACAAAATGGAATGAGAGGCTAGTTTTAAACCAAAATTCAGTTGGTCAAATATAAAAAAATATTCAAAGGTGAAAATCGATGATTAGTGTAGATAAGCAAAGCATTAGGAATACAAAGTAGTTCAAGTAACTAGACACAAGGAACACATTTTCTGGGTAACAAACGGCCTTAAAAACAGAAGTAAAATTACCCTTGGAAAGAACACATCTTACTGAAAGGAAACAAAAGTATTTATATAAGACGCAAATGTATGGCTTTGATTTACATATTACGCACTTACTATACACATGCAGAAAACTGCACAAGTTGTAGTTTGATAAGCTGTCTTTAGATATATTGTCTCAAATAATCAAACCGAATGATGGATTATGGTCGAGTAAACTCATCAGACGGAATTATAACAATAATTGTAAAGCAGCAATTACTTATAAAACTTACTCTAAAGTGTTGCAGCTGGTGATACTTGAGTAGATTTTCGTTATTGTATGTATTACAGCAGTTTGACCATTCACAAGTGTAGGACAGTTTCATACCAGAAAGCAAGGACTTCCTACCTCTTGTCATTGTTACCCTATATTACTAGGACGACAAAAATACAGAACGAAGATATTCCCAAATGAAAATAAATAACTTTATGCAGTGTTGGTTTCAGCATAAAACAACACGGTGAGGAGATTCATAACAAACCGATGTTATAAGGTTTATCTTACTAATATGTGATACTAATAGTAAAGAAGTGAGACTACAACCAAAATTCACTCATCAAATTTTTTGACGTATGACAAGAGAAATTAACTATTCATAAATGAATTTGAAGTAACTAGAATGAAGTACGTATTGGTCTGAATATCGCACAAATATCTGACAATATGTATAACAAGGTTTTATGAATTGTAGATCATTTAGAACAATTGGTAAACCAGTGAAAAAATTCATAGCAAAGAAGTCAAAATAATAGGATTAATGATAACGAGAAGTAGTAAGTATAAATAAATATGGCCAAAAAGAAGCAACTTATGAGAGAATGCAGAGGATTCAAATTTAATGGAATTTAAGGGGAAAATACAAAGGTGCCTCTATGACATTGTCATATTAACCAGGATTGCGTGAACCCCAAGGTGGTCGGTAACTATAAACACGGCTCAAACCAACGGTTGATTTTGTAAATTGATTTTGCATCTTAGATTCATTTAAGACAGTTTGATTGTTAAGTACGACAGAGAGTATAAGTGAATAGTACTTGAATAGACAGTTACTCAATTTCGCAATGTCATTTTGAATATGTACCATGAACTAGGTAATAGTGAGTCATTAAATAACCCTGACAAAAGAATTTCATAGTACAGATTGGTGGACTACACCTTAAGACTGGAAAAAATGCAGCCCACGTTACGCATATAGCAAGATTTACAAATATGAGTCAACAAATCAACTACGGGAAAATTTACTTACACAAGTTGGATGGATTTTTTTGGAAAGATCAAGGTCTTAGGCTTCAATAAGATTTAGATAACGTCATTGCAACAATGAGATGTCTAGGTAAAGTTACGCCGGCGACAGGCAATGTATTTACTATTAAACTGTCTATTACGGAGAATCTATAATCAACATACTACGTTTTTAGATCTAAAAAACTTGTGCAATAGAGCAGATCGTCATTCAAAATGTCTCTAAACTAACCTAGGTGTTGGGTTGTGATTGGAAGCTATTACCATACCAAAATACACTTGGATTTTTCGACTGCATGTAATTGATTTAACAATTAGGCAAGCTCAAACTCACCTAAGTGAGATCAAATGAGACAAAAACAATTCATGGGTAGAGAATGGATAAAGTATATGTGCTTAAAATTCTGGTAATCAGATTTACAACGCTTTGACATTTTCGGTCTTCTATCCAAACGCTGGCGATTAGAGCAACTATGCACACGCAACCACAACCAGTAAATTGTACCAAATAAGCATTCGGGGTATTAATGAAGTATGTAATGATCGCACAGAGAATACTGCCAACCGTAAATCCAGTGAAAATTATCCCATAATTCACCGCCATATTTAAAGGGCCAAACAGAATCCCAGTAGCCGCAGGTTGAATGACGAAAACACCACTCAGCGAAAAAAACAAAATGAATACCCAAATAGCATACATAACTTTTAATCCAACAATTGACAGTGATCCAATATGTGGGAATGATAATAGCACTATTGCCCAAATTACAAGCATGATCATCATTGGTATCTTAAAGGATAATCGATCAACAATGGCACCCCAAATAACACGACCACCGGCATTGAAAAGAGATGAAAATGTAGCCACAATGGATAAGAATTGGTCATCATCAATATACTGAGCACCAAACAGTTTATAAGTCGATGTTATTATAGTGATTGGTATAATGTCACAGAACATTACAAACCATAAAAGATAAAAGTCTATATAATGAAACAATTGTTTGGGTTGAACGCAAACGTCCAATAACTGGATTAGGATCAGAATTTATTCTATTCCGCACAACCAGTTCTGTGTCTCGATCTTGTGTACTTTCAAGTGGTTTTGGACGCAATAATATAAATCCAATTATTTGTAATGCAAGAAGAATACCACCAAGAATCAAAAACGCAACTGGAACCCGATCAAGGATATCAGGATGCGTAAAATGCCTTGTTTTCGGGTCAACAGGGATATTGCTTGGATTGATTAAAGCAGTTTCGATCGGAGTGAACACCAGGGCTCCTAAGCCAAAGCCACCAACAATCACATCAACTACGAGACCACGTCGTTTTGGAAACCACGTTGCGGCCACAGACAATACTACGGAATAGCCAAAACCCAGACCCAACCCTTGCAGCACAGAATACGTAATGATGACTCCAGGAAAGGACCTCTGTACAGTGACGTAAGTCAGAAAAATACTAATACTATCAAGTAAACAACTGACAGCAACAACAATACGAAAGCCCCACATCCTGGCAACCAATCCACCAAATGGCATAGAAACGCCCTGCATGCCAAAGCAATACCAGATATCCAAACTGATGATGTATTTGGCAATTCCGGGTCAACCCGTACTACGATGTAACTAATAATATAGGGTACAATGTTAGCAGTACTATAGAAGAAACCAAAGGCGAAATGGATTAAAACGCCTCCCAAAACTGAGATGCACCCAAGAATTAGGTTTCGAACTTTTTCTTTCATAGGAACGTAGTCCTCACGCTATTGATGCTAGAACTTCAGAAGTATAATTGAAGATACGAAATTATAAGGGGATTAAAGAAACAGGGCAAAAGCAGTGCGCAACATGAAACTAACGAGTTCTAAATTGACTGTTGAGGTCCTTATTTGTTTGGAAAAAGGATGGCGAGACTATGATTTGTGGACGAACCAATCAGATTTAAGATAACAGGTCTCATATTTCGGCGAAAAACTCATACACTCACAATCTCCCAATTCCAGGGAAGCCGCCATACAAAATTTCGGGGAAATGGCACAAAACTTCCCAATTTCCCCAAACTTTGAGGAAAACTCCCAAAATAGAGAGACTGGAATCATTTGGCTAAATAGTGTTTCGGCATCACCTTAATCCAATCCCTAACCCTAAATATCAACTGTAAATCGTAATTGCAATTCCTCACACTGCATTATAACCCTCATTTAGTGTTATTTCGTAGGTGGACATTTTCAAGGTCATTTTAGCGCTGCGCAAAGAGCGTTTGTAAATTGTGGTCTCTTCAAAAGGTTATTACTGTAAGCATGAAGACCGAAATAAGAGATGGTTATTTCTTGTATGTGATCATGTTACAAATAAATAAAACAATGCAGCCGCTTTTACCTGGAAACAGAGAACACAAAACAGGCACCTCAGCCTTGGGCAACGCTCCTAGGGTATCGTCCACTGATGGGGGTTGCGAGCACTTGAAGGTCAAACCGTCACATAATGATTGGTGCGTCACATCGACAATCCGTGAAAATTTTCAGAAGCGGTCAAATCAAGACATTTTTAGATTTGAATTGAGTTCAACCACAGCATGTCTGGTAACTTCCATTCTCCAAGTAACGAAGACGATGCCATTGTGATGATGCATGATATAGGACGAATCTTCAATGATATTATGTTATGTCGAAGATTTACAAGTTGGGACAATTTTGAGACCTGTTTGAAAGAAGTACATAAGGTAATACGACTTCTGTGGTTAGTAATTATTTTTTTTAGTATGCACATACTAACTACGTTATGTCAGTTTGCAAAAAGAACAGTGATGATCCAACTCTAAAGTACTTTTTCGTGAGATATGTCACTACATATGGACGTAAACGCAGTTCGTCAGAGTCAGATGCTTGCGTTCAGGATGTAGATGATGATAGTAATAATCATTCTTCTGAAGAGCGTACAACGTCTAACTCGCCAACACAACCTAGGCAAAGGAGACGACATCGGTCATCTACGTATGCCTTACTTCAAATGAATTTATTCTTCGGCTCAAAATATTGCGTTTCAATGACTACATGCTGCCCTGTGGTCATATTTTGTATGCACATTCTAAAGATCTGATTCGTGGAGGTATTTTTGTTCCTTTATCTCTAAGTTTTGTAGACTTATTTCGACATAGCAACCGGTGGACAAAAAAATACATAATGGACCTGGTTCTTCGTGCGCTGGACAACGTCTCAATCTCTACAGAGAGATGATCTGCTAGAGAAGTTCACTAGCAACTACCACTCAATCCATGCTCTTAGTGAACCTTTGGCAAGTAAACTCATCCGTTCATGCCGTTAGGTTTGTGAATGCTTGCGAAGCTACCTGGAAATAAGATAGACAGGAAAGTTATTTCAGTATAAATGTTTGCCAGAAACTAATATAAAAACGGAAACCAGTGTTCAATTACAGATCTCACACAATCTGGTCACCTTAGATCAAGATATCTTGACTATCGAATCATACTTTTCAGTGCTTTCTCGTGACAGCTTTATATCAGTACTTATTTCTGTTATTAGGTATTTTTGCAATAATACCGGCAGCCAAAACATTGTAGCTCCCCAGACAACCCAAAAAGGGGAAATAAAGGGGTAAATGCTTTGGTAGCGAAAGGGGAAAACGCATCAGAATGTCGCCTTTTTCGCCTGTCCGGGGGAAATAATGTGGATTTCCCCCTTTTTCGCCGTTTTGCCGATAAATTACTCACTTTTCGCCTAAATGTCCGCTGAATTGTCTACTTCTCGCCTAAATACACACAGAACTCCCTATTTTCCATCCATTGACATAACCCCAAAGGTCTCCTATGTTCGCCTTTATTTTCAACAACAGACCAAAATAAATCTGCAATGCAGTGGAAAACCGGCATATTTTTGAAAATTTTTATTTAAAAGGTAAAGCGTATTATTGTACAACACTAGAGCAGAAGCTTAAGCATCGATTGTTTTGCATATCCAATGCAATTGCTACTTCATTGTTATTTGAAATTATCTGCAAAAGAAGGAACAAGTGATATATTATTTATAAGGAATGTGCATTTAATCAAAAGTTCACTGACACTCAAACACACATTCTCAACACTTCTACAGGTTCCCATGTAAGTAACAAAGTAATAATTTTTATTGAAGTGTAGGTAGGACATCAAAACAATTGCACGGCTATTGAGAATTGAGGTAGTCGTCCCGTGAATTATGAATTAAAAAAAGAAAAAAATCACAACCATATCTCAATGACATGCTTTGGTACAGCCAAATACTTGTGTAGATCTATACAAAAGGTAGTAATGCTATCTTAAACTGGTCTCTGATAAAATCTCCACATTATACCTCTTCCGCATGACTGTGATTTATTTCCTGCAATATAATCATCTAGTGGCTAATATATCTAACTGTTGAAGGTGATATTAACATCTTGGTATGTGTTATTATCATCTTTAGCATTAATATAATACTTACAACACTCGATACACCTAATGTTTTCACTATCAACCTTTTTCTGCCATGAAAGTCGAAAAAAGCAGTGAAAATCAGCCGAAATTGTGATAAAGACGGGAAAAACGACAAACCTTACCATGGTATCGTTAGTTGTAACGCAGTTTTGGTAGCCTTGACGACAATACAATTTTTATGACGATATATACCTGAATCATGCTATTTCATATAAAAATAAAAGATTTATTTACCATCAGTGTATACCTAAGTAGAAATAAATGCTAGTCTGTAATGCAAACATGAAAAAACTATTATAGCAGCACCTGAATAATGAATTTTCAAGGACTTCGCGATACCATGTAACGCAAAATGGAAAAACCCCTTTTCACTTAATTATGAAAAGAGAAAACAGACTTTCAAATTTATTCGTAATTAATTTCAAAATTTGGTTGTGCACAAAGCAGAAATAAAAAAGCAGCGCAAAAAAGTGTCGCGATACCCCTGGAGCGCTGCCTCAACCTTGACGGTCAATATTTTATAACTCCCGGTTATTTGTGTTAGTTACACCTCAATATGAGTGTGTATCATATAAGATCGTTAGCCACCAAATTTATGTAATCATTTGTCGTGTACGTTTCTAGATCGTCTACAACAACTTTATGAAAGTCTAACACTAGTAGAACCATGAGGTGACTATACTTGGGTACCAGTGGAATATAAATGGTTATTTCCGCTACCGACTACTGCTTTTTTTCAAGAACCTAAATTCGTCATGCGAACTCTCTATCCACCTTAGTATCAGGCGGTAGCAGTAGAGTTCTTGAATATTTGAGGAGAAAACGGTTAAAATAGAAAGACTTGTGACACTGTACCAACTTCAAAATGATGACTATTATAATGAATATAATAAGGATCGTGATTTGTGTCGTACCGATTCTACCATCTGTCCTCGTTAAAGAGTCAAATAAGGGGATTTTTTTGATGTTTCATTCGTGAAAATGTATCACAGAGGCTATTCTTACAAGTATATGCGGAATAACAAATGGTTTAACACAATTCTCAGCTGACGACTTCAGCCCCTAATCCCCTTCGGAACACATGCTTCGTAACAATGAAATAATATTTACGCTTAATCGAAGCTGCTCAACCTTTAGGCTTAACAACCATTGTAGTGACCTACTTTTATCAAGAGAACGCGATTGGTCTAATGAAAACAATGATTATTATAAACAATTGTACCACGGATTGTTTTACTATACTTGTTTGTGTAACTGTACTTAAGACATTCTTCCTTCCTTTGATTGTGATCTTGCACGAACTTACGTTTGTTCAGTGATTCCGCTTGTACTCCTTTGGCACGATCTCGGTATTCTTTCGATACCACGAGATCGTCAACAAATATATCTCGCTACAACCTCCAATCGCCTTCTGATATCTGGTACACAACCTTTTTTTAGTGGTGATCATAGTCAACCGCGACTCGACGCCACGCTACACCATACTACTAAAAACAAAAAAATTGGGTAATTTATTTGGTTTTATTCTACAATCAGCGACTATGAGTTCACTGAGTTCGCCAATGAAATTTTCACCAATAAGTGTCTTGACACTCTCTATGATCAATTAAACATCTAATACTTGGTAACATACATGTATACTCCTCATTCATAGCTCTTTTGTTTAGCGAAATGTGAAGTTTTTATTTTATCATCGTACTCATAGACGACTAAAAATCCCAATCAATAAGTCCATTCCTCTCTTAATTTAAAATATCTTGAGTTATAAGTGCCTTCACCGCGCATGGTTTCCACTCTACCCTCATTCTGCCATGTAAAAATTCTGTCAACTCCTTTGTGTATTATAAACGGATCAGGATATAAATATTGGTGTAGCCATCTTAAGTCGAACCTTGTAAATAAGTGAACGTCTAGTAGCCTAAGTCTGTCTTACTCAGGACTGCATTTTCACAGTAGACTATGCAGTTTATAATCTACGTTTTCCAGTTTAAGCATTGTACACCTTCTCTCATTAATTACTACATCTCTTTTCATAACGATTTAGAATAAATATATGTCTTAATGATTCACTGCTCAAAGCTCAAAA